CAATACACGTGTTTGATCTTAAATGTGATCCTTAAATCACGATAATTATTAACCAACTAGATCTTGCTTTCACTGTTTCTATCCTCTTTCTATCTTTAATGCCAAGTATATGACTTGCTATGCCCTAGTCCTTTGTGTGTCAACCCACAAACGTTTGTGGTTCGCCATTGAACCTAAACAAAGCCAGCAGTACCACAACGTTTGTGGGTTGGCACACAAGCAACTAGGGCATGGCAAGTCATATACTTGTTATTAGGAATAGAGACAGGATAGACGAGGCGGCGATTGGAGTTAGTTGGCTGACAGTAGGTTTTATAATAGATGTATCCATATAGCAGAGGCATGACCATGACACTTACTCTGAGACTTTAGCCTCCAATTAATCGCCCATGTGCAAGGGATGGAAGAATTACGCCTCGAATAGCACAGATGGGGGGGGGGCAAGGGTCGAGTGAAATACATGTACCAGGGAGATAGCAGACGGATTCGACGAGGCAAGAGGGAGACTTTGATAGGATCTAGGGAAGGACTACGTAACAATATGACAGACTCTGGTCAACATTCCAAGCACAAGGGTCAAGGGGCTGATAACGACAGCGTGGATTGTAAAGGGTGTTCGTAAATGCCGCTCGAAGGAGCACACCACACTACATTAAGAATAAGCACGGTAAAAAAACTGTGACCGAGTTGCGAAAACAAGGTCTAACAACTTCTCTACAACGAAAGGAGACTGCGACCACACAAAAGGCCACACCATCCTGGTCTTTATACGTTCGATTAAAATGCATTATTCACTCCTATATCTAATGGTTTTATTTTCGAAATTAATCCGATAATAGATTTTTACAAATTAAAATCATTGGCACAAAAGATCAAAACCGCGTAAATGGATTCCCGAATAGGCAAATTTATCTATTTAATGATCCTCCGCATAGCAAACCTATAGTTTCATACAGCGACGTTGATTTGAAATGCCCAGGAAATTTTACTCACTTACATGGCGCTCAACATGATAACAATCAATAATAAAACCAAAACTAGAATATTTGTGGTCGAGAACACAGGAAGAAATATTGGCTTATATTTTACTCCAAGCAAACACCAAGTAAGACTATCAATGATTAGGTTTATAAAGAATGATAATTACTTCTGCATAACAGAAGTATAATCCTTACATTCATTTCAATCCAATGTATTGGAAGACAATGCTTAACAAAAAGATTAGTATGGAAATAAGTACTTAAGATTAAAATAAAACCTAGGACTTACCTTGATAGTCACTTTGGTGTCTTTTTGAGATAGCTTAAGAGCATTATTAAAAATCTTTATGTCTTCTTCTAAAGCTAAAGTGCCACCAGGAAGCTTTTGTTGATCTGGGTCAATGTAATCATTTAAGCGCGAAGGGTGGTCAATGAAAGTAAGCTTGCGTGAATTCTAAGAAATTAAAAAAATTGCTAATAAGGTACAAAGATATTAAAATAAAAAATTAATATAACAAGTAGACGAAATTAAGTATATTGAATATGAAGAAATAAATTTAAATCGGTTTATAGTATACATTGTTTCATGTAAAAGAACATGTAAAAAAATGGGGCAAATACGCTACATTGCTACGTTTGCCAGTCGGTCACAAAGTAGACATGAATTTCAGTCCACCTGTCTCGCATTCATGGCCTCTTATTTAAGAATCTAATGGTGGTTTCGAAGCCTACCAAATCCGAATATAATTCATGAAATCGATTGTAATAGCAAATACAAGTTTGTTTAATCGACATTCTGGCCGATATTGATTTTTTAGCAGGGAACAACTGACAAGAGAGATAGAGGGGCACTAAATGAAAATAAGAAGCAATGACCAAGA